GTATAGGGAGAGCAATTAGGGTCACATAACAATGTATGTATAAATTTTTGTATAAAAGACTAACTTGAAATGTAAACTTTCACTTAAACTACAACAATAAACAACAACAAAAAAGAATACTCGCAGAAGGTCAACCTGTCTGGAGGGTGGTCATTGTGCTCACCTCAGAGAGGAACTAACATTCCATGGATCCTTCAGACTCTGACTCTGTCCCTATAAAATCCTCTGATCAGCCTCCAGGTGGGGAGGCAGATTTTGGAGGAGCTCATTCCTCTCTGTCTCCTGTATATCGATATACAATAAAACACTCTTGCTGCTCACCTCACCCCGTCTCAGTACTGGCTTTTGTGGCAGGCGGCTTAGACTGGTGTTTTGCAGTAACAGATCCTTCCTGGCCCCTTCTATCTTTTGGTGGTACCCAGTAATCCTTAACGTTGCTTGACTTGTGATGCTTCACTCCAATCTCTCCCTCCATCTTCACATGTCTGTTTTCCCTCTGTGTCTGTCTTCGTGTCTTCTCTTCTTCCTGTAAGGACACCAGTCATATTGGATTAGGACCCACCCTTTTCCAGTATGACCTATCCTAACCAATTACATCTGGAAAGACCCTATTTCAAATATGGTCATGTTCACAGGTATAGGGTTAGGACTATGAGCATATCTTTTTGGGGGATACAATTCAACCCATGACAGCACTTCACCTCTGTGGTTTTCCTCCCCCAAAACCCATAACCTCACTATAATCATGTGATGGTTAAGATTGTGTGTCAGCATGGCTGGGCCATGATTCTCCGTGTTTTAATGTAATCATTCCCATGATTGAATATACTGTGAGTAGCCAAACAGATGAAAGGGAGTCTCCTTGGGGCTGTGGCCCGCATCTGTATATAAGTAGACGTTCTGGCTTTTTGCTCTCTCTGGATCTTGTGGCTGCTTCCTGTTGTCTCATCTCCCGTTCTTGGGACTTGAGCTGTCAGCTTATCTGCCAAACCTGGGATTTGTCAATCTGCACAGCCTGTCAGTGGGAGCCCTGCCTTCCAACCTTCCGATCTTGGGCTTGCCAGCTTCTGCAGCTGTGTGACATAAAGACGTTGATGACTCTGCTTCCAGCAGTAAAGAGGTCACTGCTAGTCCACGGAGCGAGGTGGTGATACAAATACACAAAATATCACCACTGGTAGATCAGGTATTGGTGAAAGGTGAGGCTCAGGGTGAACACATGTGTGATATCTTTCTACA